GGTGGAGGTTTGTACTTTTCACGGTTGAAACAACAACATACAGAGAAAGCGGGCAAATCGTTTAGGAAAGATTCGGGGTCGTTGTTTTCACGACCGCTTTGTTCTCGCTCGGTTCTATACACCGGAAATATATATTTACAGGAAAATTCGAGCGAATGGTCGATCGGAAAGACCCGACCGTAAAAATGCACCCGGAGACTCGAAGAAATTCAGTACCTGAAAAAGAGGCTTGTCGGTCGTTGCCGAAGCCGGAATCTGAACTGTGTAAAACTTCTGCTCGAACTCGGGCCCGTGGTCGTTAACGTCCGCCACATCGATGACGACCCTCGTGGTCGATGACAATGGAGGTCTGCCGTCGTCCCTTACCGTCACCTAAAACCATAAAATTACCGATCACAGCATGATACATCGTCGCAAGCATATATACTTGTTAAATTACTACATTATAAACATTACATTGAAGCTGAAAAATAAAAAAAAATTAATTAATTAACAAATATTAAAGCAAAAATCAAACTACGAGAATTGTTTTTGATAAAAATCACGCTATTATAAAACACTCTTTACAAATATATGTAACGTATTTTAAATTCCATCTCTATGATAATCACATTCGACAATGGTAAAGAAAAACGAGTGTAATGTTTCCTCATAAATATGAAAATTTTATGAATGATAAAATATTATATTAAAATAGAGGCGCACTGTTATTATGCGGAAAAGCTGCATATGAAACGGATTTAGCAATATTGAAAGCAAGCAGCAGTAATTTCAGTAAATATAAACGAGTTAATGCGGATTCTGATTAATTCACGGTTAAATTAATATCCTGAGTCATCAACAAATCAAATCACAGCATCAGCATATCATTGACACGATTTATTACTATCTCGTAATGAAAGCACGCGATCTGCAGCTTTACCACACAAATTTCAATCTCAATTAATAATACTAAATCTGCTCTCGTTTCACGTGTGTTGTCACGATAGATACCTCGTATATTTGAATTTCACAATCATATCGAAGAGTTGCAAATGCATAAATTAATTTTCCTATATATATATATATATATATATATATATATATATATATATATATATGTATATATATATATATATTTCGAAATTATTCAGAGACATACGGGAAACGTGCGTGTGAAAATACGCGCTGGTTTGTCGTTCGCACGGTCGATTATCAATCGGGAAATGGAACAGGATGAGAGAAACAGGCAGGCGGTTTAGATGGAAAAAGGGGTCTCAAGAGGTATTCTTGCGCGTACCGCGATATCCCTTCTAGACTTTTCGTTTCTGGTACGAGTTTTCATGCAACCGCATCCCCGTTTTCCTCGTTTAGTACGGTCGTTGTCTTATCGCCCACGTTTCTGCCTTCTTTCTCGTCGTCCCGCGAAATCCAGGACTTTCATGCGAGAATATCGCACACGTACGATCTGCGCAGTCGACGATGCTGACCGAAGACGGAGGAACAGAAAGAAACTTCATGTCGTAAAACCGAGTATCCCAGCAGTTCGAAACGATGTCACAAATCCGAGATTCCGACCATCATATAACTTGCCTCGCAGCGAAAACTCATATTATACATAACAGAGGTTGAAATCTGTACACTTCAGATTTTAGATGTAGCAGATACTTGAGGACAACGTTTATACAAATATTCTTTTCAGCTTGAATGATAATCATTATATTATATATAATTTTAATAGGTAAAAAATATATATTATATTATATATAATTTTAACAGGTAAAAAATATATATTATATTATATATAATTTTAACAGGTAAAAAATATATACGGCGGAAAATAAAGGAAGGTCTTTCTACGCTACGTCTTCAGGTCGTTTAATTTTAGATCACAGAGACAAACAACAAGTACATATAATTAACCGTTGTGACCAAGTCATGCGAATACTAGGAACGCTCACTGTTCTTGTTAATTTTAGCTTTAAGATTTAATTAGCGCTTTCGCCGAAGCATTTCAACCGCGGCATCTGGTAACAAACGGTACCATTTTTTTTTTTTTTTATCCTCGTTTATTTTTACGTGTACATCAATAAATCTCACAAACGTTTCTGTTTCGTAAGACAGAAACTAGCCCGGTGTTCTATACACGGTGCTATAGATAGATCCCTTTTCGGAGCGGTCCTTCGCATCAACAGCGCGGACCAATAACGAACCACATGACTCATCGAGACGCTCTATTACGAGATCGGCGGCCGTCCATCCGTTCGAGACGAGAGAAACCGAACCGGACTGGCGAGAGAGAGAGAGAGAGACCGGACCGGTTACGAAATTCTACGTCTCGGGACTCCCGTCGTTCTTCGACGCAATAATCGGGCTTCTCACGAAGCAATTTCCGTCCGAGAACGGCAGCGAACGAGGGAAGGCTGCCGAGACCGCGACGTAAATCCAATGTCCTCCGGGGACATCTCGCGCGACGGCGGACTGCTACTACTTCAGATCCTCCTGGGTAACACCTGCACTAAATTAGGAGTACGAAACTCCGTTTTATATACCGGACGTCGACTACGGGAGATTCGAGCGTAGTCATCTGCGGTGCGACGACGCGACAGAGCTTTCTCCCGTGAAACTACCTTCATCGGATGTGTTAACGTATATATTCGTCTGTGTCTCGCGATACAAACTTCAAACTTAAAATATAACCAAAAAAAATCATCACTCATAACAACCGATTCGTTAATAGCGCGAGCAATATGGAGTCCCTAAAATCCACACAAACCTAATTTTGTCCTTACGGAATAATAGTCTCAACTCATATCAATAGCCCGCGCTACATCGCTTCGCTGTATTCCCGCATAAAATATTATTACAAAAGTATTCCGAACTCGCCGTTCTTCGTCAAAGACAGTTTTCATCCCCGCAATATGATAACAGAACTACAATTACCTAACAATCAAGTTCTTTGTTCAATCGATGTAGTATCACTGTTTATCAATGTACCGTTTTAGAGATAGTTTTAAATGAAGTTTCTAGATGGAAACATATATAACGCTTACACACACAAAGATCAACGAACAAGAATTTTTACTAGCTTTACGTTTTGTACTGTCGCATCCGCATATTTTACTTTTGACAATAAAATTTATAGACAAACCGAAGGTACACACCCATGGGCTCATCCCTTTCACCCATTATTGCCGACATTGCAACGCGAGATATAGAATCACAAGCTCTCAACACTCTGACTTTTTCAATTTCATTTTATTTCAGATATGTGGACGATATTGTAGTAGCGATTCCTGATGACAAAATAAATGATATTTTAAACGTATTCAATTCAATACACGCGAGATTGAAATTTACATACGAATTGCAGACTGACAACCGTCTTAGTTTTTTTAGATTTCGATGTCATCCTAGAGAACAATGCGATCATTTGCGATTGGTATCACAAATCCACATTTTCTGAAAGATATCTAAATTTTTTATATCAATATTAAATTGAGGATTTTCCTCGGGCTCATGAAGTTTATTAAACTTAATAAATGAATAAATAAGTCTTAAGGAGCCGTTCGCAGGATGTTGTGCGGAAAATATGTCTTATATGTGTATGCACATATATAAGTAAATTCACGTTTTTCACGTGTGTTTTTCGAATTGAAATTTCAATTCTTAAATTCATATAGGATGCTAGTTTTGCATCTCATATATGATAGACCCCGAATACCCCCCCTAAATTTTTGATCACAAAATCCGATATGCCAAAAAATAAACACCGTGTATTCGCTCTAGTTGATAGATCTATTTTATTATCTGACCCTGTATATCACCAAAAAAATTTAGTCTTTTGCATTAAAACTCTCATTAAAAATAACCACCCGATAGACTTTCGTATTTAAAATAATTAACAAGAGATTGAGAGAGTTGTTCGTAACCAAATTAAACCAACATTCAACAAACAACGAACAATTTGACAAAATGAATGAATATCGAAACTAAACGATATTTTGTTATAACGTACATCCCTAACGCTGAACGCATGAAAAATCCATTGAAATGTACATTAACAACAATAATAGTATCTCAATTAGAGAGATCGTCATATAGGACTCTAAACCAATTAAACAAGTACGTCAAACCACACAAAGAGCATATCCCTACACATAAACGCGTATATAATATAAATTAATTAATAAAGTAATTCGTGCAAAGTCAATTATGTCGGACAAACAAAGAGACATTTAGAGAGAGAGTTACAAACAAGAATCAAAGAACGTCAAAACTACGTAAAAAAGAATCATATACTTCCGTGATCTCTGAACACTGCTCAAAAACGGGACACGTTTTTCAATGGGAAACTCCACACAAATTTTAGATAAGGAACAAAATTATTTTAAACGATTGACATCTGAAATGTTACACGTCAAACTCAACAAAACTAGTTTAAACATTAACACAGACACACAATTGTCAGACAATGTATACATATACCAATTTTAGAGAAAATTTAAACCGTTTTATACATATATGTATAGAAAGAGAGCAATAATCACAACAGATATTTATACACGTAGACCTACTACTCAGTCTTTCTCGGTACATGACAATGTCTCAATAACAATTTATCTCATATTGCAGTTATTGTGCAGAGGTGGACTGTATTTTTTTTCATTTAAGGTATGATCTGTTTGATAAATTATCAATAGATAACCCGAGATATATATTATTATACATCACTTGTTTATTTAATTTCTCTTTCTTTTGTTTTCTAATTTCAATTTTGTGTAAATTTATATAAATCATGTAACATTAGAAAGATCCGCCGAAATATGTATTACATAATATTCACCGAAGATGACTTGGTAATAAAGTCGAAACGTCTGGATATAAAAATTCACGAGTAATTTATTAGCATAACAACCCGCTTCTTGTTCGAATTGCCCACTTCATACGTCTGATGAAAATTTTCGCTACGAATCGGAGAAATCACCTTTATCACCAATTCATTATCAATTCAATTATTAAAACACAAGTGCATACAGATTATTTTATATTTTTATTTATTTTAAAAACTATTTTTTTTTTTTTTTTTAAAGTGTCTTCTTAATATAGAGATAAGAAAATGTTGAGGAAATCTATTATAGTCGCACACTCAGAATACAATGTAAAACGGAGAGAGAAAGAGAGAGAAAGAGAGAGATTCCACGTGTGTCCTATTTAATAAATTTAGAGAGAGTGTATCAGCTAACAGGATTGCGCTACGTGGCGCGTTGCTGCGAAACTATATAAGTTTCATCACAGCAATTTTCTCAAGACGGAGGAATATATTAAGTGTTCCGTTTCTGGAGCACCCCTGCGCAGGATGAACATGAGTCTTTACAGCGTGGTAGAGATTT